AGCATGGCAGGGAATGGGACAGCAGGGGAAGCAGAACAAAGAAGGCCAGACACACGTCAAATTAATAGTAATAGACAATAAGAAAGAGTAATTTATTGACTTATTACTATGTCTTACTATGTGGAAAATACAATGCCAAATACATTTATACATTATCTCCTTAATAAAGAAAACAACTTCTGAAGATGTAGTTCAGTAATAGAGTACTTGCCAGCATGTGCAATGCCCTGTGTTTGATCCCTAGCACCAAGAAAGAAAAGGGGGAGGGGCAGGAGAGGGGGGATGGGAGGGGATGGAAAGAGGGGAGGGGAAGGGAGGGCAGAGGAGGCGAGGGGTAAAAAAGAAAACAACCACTTGCTCTATATGCATGAAATGACTTCAAGCTTTATGGCACACGTAGCAGTAAATCCAAACTCTATAGTATGTATTTCCTTGAATAAGCTTTGTGTGTGTGTTTGAGACAGGATCTAGCTATGTAGACAAGGCTGGTCTTGAACTCACAATCCTTCTACTTCCATCTACCTATGCATCTTAAAAAGAAAAACATAATTCCTCATAAATGTTAGATGTCCTACTTTTCCCAGTTGTATTTTTTCATATGATTTTCAAGTTTGTTTCAGTACAAGGTTAAAGGGTTATTATGAGATGAAAAGTTAATAAATACAGTATGAGACATTATTTAATAATATCCTTTGATTTGTTTACGCAATCCTTTAACATAACCTGTTTCTCTTCTGAGATACATGGTATAGCTTGATGTTTCTGAGTGTTGCAAGCTATGACCATTAGAGCCAAGAGCTATGGTACATATAGTTTTTCTGGCACATTCACTTCCATTTAAAAGGCATCCTTACATATATGCCAGAGACCTGGGCTTGACAAACACAATTAATTAGTGGAAGCAGCAGATGTACATGTACCTCCATGAAGAACTTCAGAAGGCTCTTTATATTTAGCTTTTACTAATTAGGAAATGGCTTGAAAGTATCTCCTGAACACAAAGAGATCGTTCAGCTCAACTCTAGAAATATTTACTGAGTGTCTTTTGTCTGATGCTGGGAAGACAAAGCTGAAGTCCTAGTCATTCCCTCAGGAACTTACAGACTCCAGGGCTGGCTGAATCTCAGACTTTTCCCTGGTCAGATAAGATCACAGAAAGTCTGGGCAAGTACATACACTCTGGACTTCTGGTGCAGGTTGTATCAGAATAAACTTTTACTTTTTTTTGTTTTTAATAAAAGCCACTCACCTAAAACATTACATATCAGCAGGTCACATGTCTAACCAAATATGAACGACTGATTACTGAAGTACAGACCTTCTAATAATAACAAATTATGTATGAGTTGGCAGGGGTTTTCAAAGAAATTTATAAACATCCGGAATTTGAACCTACACTTAGACATTTCTTCAGAGATCAACTGCTTATTTTAATTTTCTCTATTTAAATTATTAGGAAGAAATATCAGAAGAGAATCAGGAAATTTTAGGCTCCATAAGTTCATCACAATAATTAGTATTTTAGCTGGGCACCAGTGGCTCACACCTATAATCCTAGCTACTTCAAAGGATGAGAATAGGAGGACCTTGGTTTGAGGCCACCCTTGGCAAAGAGTCTGCAAGACCCTATCTCCAAAATAAATAGTGAAAAATGGACTGGAGGTGTGGCTAAAGTGGTAGAGCGCCTGCTTTGCAAGTGGGAGCCCTGAGTTTGAACCACAGTCCCAACAACAATGAAAAATTTACACTGTTTATCCTACAGTAATTATATCAAGGTAATAAGACTGGATTAAATCCTAGGATTCATATAAATTGAATCAAAACTGAACAACAATTTATATGTCATATTATGGAAAGTCAAAAATCTTGTGAAATTTTACTTGAGTGGGTCCAGAGGAACAGGGCAAAAGGAGGAGCTGAAATCAATTCAAATTGTTCAGCAGGTCTCTGGGGCCTGGCAGACTGAGAACACTGGGAGGGATGGACACTTTAAATAAACTGAACAAAAGCATGGTATAGGCAAGCAGCATCCATACAAAGGAACCAGTACAGCCTCATGGGGTCAATGGACCCTAACAATCAAAAAATTCAAATAATTTCATTGGGTAGGTGCATAAATATTTAGGTTGAATTATGACATGTTTGCTGAAACATAATACAATGAGAAAACAGCTAATACTGTTTATTAAAGAAATGGTAGCCCTTGAGCACAACCCTAACATTATAAAATGTTTCCATCATCTCCAACTGATTAGAGTCAGAATTACTTGGTGAAATCGCATGTTCTCAAGCCCCATTGCATATTTTGAATCTGATTAAAAATAAGGTGGATGGAGCTAGCTGTTGGTGGCTCATGTCTGTAATCCCAGCTACTGGAGAGGCAGCGATCAGAAGGATCATGGTTCAAAGCCAGCCCAGGCAGATAGTTCTGGAGACCCTATCTTGAAAATACTCCACACAGAACAGGACTGGTGGAGTGGCTCAAGTGGGAGAGCTTCTGCCTAGCAAGCGTGAGGCCCTGAGTTCAAATCCCAGTACTGTCCTAAAAACAAATAAATTAAAAGTAAAAATAAAATAACAGGGATGGAGTTTTAGAGAGCTTCCTGAGATACTGGTGATCAGACAGGATGGAGAAACAGAGAGCCAAGAAGACCTAGACTAAGTTAGTTGACTGTAGGAACAGTGAGCGTTAAAAAAGGGCTATTCCAAAGCCAGTTAATGATTCCCGCCTGTAATCCCAGCACTCTCGGGAGCATGAGGCAGGAGGACCATGAACTCTAAGGTAGCCTGGGACACACAGAGAGACCCTGTCTGAAGAAATAAAACAAAGGACATGGTGGTCCACATCTATATTCTTAGCTCCTTGGGAAGATTGAGGTTTGAGAACAGCCTGGGCAAAAGAGTTAGCAAGACTTGCATCTCAAAAAACAAGCTGAGCATGGTGATACATACTGTGATGCCAGCTACATGGGAGGCATAGGCAGGAGGATTTCAGTTCGAGATAAGCCAGGACAAAAAGCTCCAGATCTAATCTGAAAGAAGACTAAAGCAAAATAGGGCTAGCGTGTGGCTCACGACCAAAAAGAAACAAAACAAAAGAGGGGGGGCAGTTATGCTAACACTGCCCTCTTCTAAACATTTCAAGCACTAATATCATTTATGTCCACCATCCACTACATGCCTATAGCATAATCTCAAGACCTAAAATGGGTCAGAGCTGGTAGCTCCGACCATAATCTTAGCTACTTAGGAGGCAAAAAGCAGGAGAAAATGGGGCTGCCAGAGTGGCTCAAGTGGTAAGAGTGCCTGTCTAGCAAGTGCAAGACCTTGAGTTCAAACCCCAGTACTGCCAAAAAAAAAAAAAAAAAATCACTTATTATTCCCCTTTACTAAAGAATTATCAACACTGGAATTACTAGATTTTTTTCCAATAAATATCTCCAAATCTAAGCTTTACTTTTTGTGTGTGGTTGAATACCCCTTTTCTTTTTCTTTTTTCAATATCCTAAATATATGGGATGTTTCACAGAAACTCAAATGACAGTATCTTCTTCCATCAGTCAATGGCAATAAACTCTCAAATTTGAAGCTCAGTAAGAATCTAAATAGTCACACTTCTGCCCAGAGGACTGCTCTATAAAGTACCCAGTTAGCATCCTGGGTAACTATATAAAATCTGAAACTTCACAGAAAGATGGGTGACAGTGACAGCGCTGGGTGTGGTGGGCAACACCTGTAATTCCAGCACTTGGGAAGCTGAGAAGTAGAGGCAAGAGGAACATCAATTCCAGGCCAGTCTGGGCTACATATGGAGATCCTGCCCCTCCTAGAAAAAAAAAAAAAAAGGCAGGGGGTGGGGGGAGGAGTGACGGCTTTGGCCAGATTAGTCCTGGGACCTATTGTTGGATGAATTAGTAGATGAATAACGTTAAAGGTGCATTTTCAAACAGCAACTTGAAAAAAGTATTTTAAACATCCATCATATTTAATAAAACCTTATATATTTGTTGGAAATTTACCATATGTTAGTATTGTGCTGTAGTGATGTTTCAGACTGGAATGTTTTTTCAGTGGGAAAAAACAAACAAACAAACAAAACAGCCAGCGTCTGGTGTAGCTTTGATTCTTGTTTGGCCGGAAAGCGCAGTGGTAGGGAGCTGTCAAAGTATTTTCTATAGACACATTGCCATTAAATACAACCCGACTTACATAGTGGCAGAAGCAGGGGAGGAGAGAAACAAGAACAAACAAAAAACCTTGGCGGAAAGCTGGCCCTTGCTATCAGAAAAGAACTAATTAGCGAGGACTCATGGAGTAGAGCCCACCTAGGGCTGGCACACCAAACCGGTTTCCTGCTTTAACCTGGTGGACAGGCAGAGGGTGAATTCAGTTAACAGGGTCGAACTCAAGTCAAGAAGGACCGGTCCACAGAGAAAAAGCAGCCCGGTGCGGAGTCGCCTCCCTCCAACATCCTAGTGGGGTCCGATCCCCCGGATTCCACTTGGGTAGCCAAATGAGCAGGACACTCGCTCATGTGGGGCGGCACAGCGTGGCCGCCTGCCCAGGGCCACCCTCGGCAAGCAGTACCGCCGACCAGCGCACTCGCAGCCCGGGTCCCATGTCGCGACAGGGAAGCCCGCGGGGTGCGCGAGAACAGGGGCGGCATCGGACTCTCCCCTGCAGTGACCCTGGCCATATCACTCCGCACGCGGCCGACAGTCAGGAAGTTTGGAAGATGAATGATGGGGGCCGGAGACGGCGACGAGAGCAAGGGGAAAGTCGCCAGGGTTTTTTTGTTGTTGTTTTGGGGAAGGAAAGAGTTTGGCTAGGGCGCGACGCGCAACGCAGGAACTTGTTTCAGTCTCGAGCCGCGGCCTGGCAGAGGTGGACTCGGCGGTGCAGGCAGCCAGCCCTTTCCCCGGGTCCGGCTCTCTCCAGGCCGGGCCCGCCCGCCCGCGCGCAGCGTCCCGGGTCCCGCCGTCCGGGCCCCACTCACTCACCCAGCTCCTCCGCCAGCAGCCGGAGCGGGACGCAGACCGCGAGCAGCAGGGCCAGGAGGTGCGGCCCGGAAGTCCCGGCTGGCTCGCCGCGGCCGCCAGGCACCATGGCCCCGCCGGGCGCCAGCTTGGCAGGCTCGGCCACCCCTAGACGGGCCGTGCGCCGCCGCTGCCCAGCCCGGACAGCCTCCTCCGCGGTCGAACGCGGCGCCGAATCCCATTGGGGCGGCCGAGCTGGGAGGGGGCGTGGCCCCGCCTCTCCCGGCCACGCCCCACCCCTCCCGCGCCTGCCAAGGGAGGAGGGAGTCGCGCTTCTCCGTGTTGACCCGCTGCTCAGCCCCCAGTACGCGGAGCACCGCCCACAGGGGCGCCCAGTTTCGCTCTTCCCTTTTCCCAACTCTACCTGTCTCAATTCAGGTGAACCTGGAAGCCAGACGACACCTGGCGGGAAGACCTGCCCGGAGCCTCACGGTCCTCCACGGTGTCTGAGCGCGCTCCTCCAGGGTCCCAGCACGCGTCAAGCGCCGCAACTTGGGCACCCGAAATATTTTAGTGATGGGATGGCGACGGATACAAGTAAAAACTCAAGTCCCCCTAATGATTAATTAATTCGTTCACTGATAAGTTATTTAGTCCAGCAATGTGCCTTTCAACAAAGGTGCTAAACCCACGTGGCACTTGCAGATGTTGAATATAATCAGGCAAGAATATAATGCAAATTGCAGTCATTGATGTGAAGGGTGTTCGTGAGGCACATTTAGGAAGATGTAATTAGATGGCCGGTGGGACGGCTGCGGAGAAGCAATCAGCCAGGAAAAGCTCGCTAAGTGGCTTCTAGGAGTGTGAGTGCGACTTGGGAAAGCAAAAGGCGAAGAAGAGAGAGGGCTAAAGAGAGGGTGAGGGAGGGGAGGGAGGCGCCAATGTCAGTGTGACTGGAACCCAGTGAACAGGTGAATAGATGCATGGCCAGAGGTGAAAGCCCATGTGCACAGGAGGGTTCATGAAAGGCCTGGCAGGCCACGTGAAGGATATTTAACTAGGTCCTCGGAGCAATGGGAAGAGAAAGAAGGTCCTGAAGAACAATGACACAATCTAATTCTCTGAGGGATGGTAGAGAAGGAGAGATTAGGAGAGGACAGGTTGAAGTGTGGAGAATTATGAGGCTATTGCCGAGTAGTTGAATGGGGTAATGACAGTGGCAATAGAAGAGGAAAGATTAAAAACTCGTTTGAAACACTGATGTCTCCAGTCCCTTTCGGTCTTCCTACACATCCTCTGCACGAGGCCATATCCTTCGCACCCCCGTGTGGCGTCCTGGGTTGTTACACTTACAAGTGCAGAGAGAGGGACACATTGGAGGCAGAGAGGAAGCAGCAGCTCCTCCAAGACCTGTCAAGTAACCTTTGGTTACTCAAGGACAGACTGCTTGTACACCAGCATCCTTTTGCCTCTTTCTTTTTTTAACTTTTGAGATTTAAAATGACATTTGTTTGTGGGACTTTGCTGTCTCATAGGTGGTGTCATTAGAGGAAGGAGCTTGAGTTTATAAATGAAGTCCAAGTCGGAATCTGGGGTCAGCCACTGCTTGGTGTTGATTCTCTAGGCCTCAGTTTCAGTGTGTGTGTAATAATACCCAATTCTCCTGGTTGTCGCAGAGACGAAATAAATGTGTATGTAAAGTTCTAGCATGTAAAGGAGGTACCCATATAGTAGATTTTATTATGTTTAAATTGAAAGTAAATTCACTCTGTGAAAATTTTGACTATTTATGAACACACTCCATACACCATAAAAAGATACTTCGATACATTGAATAACTTCTTAATTCCAGCTTTCCCTTGTCCTTATTTTTCTTTCTAAAAAAGTGAGTTTGGACAGCTGCTTCCAGACTAAAGTTTTGGGTCTGTGAATGAAGGAAAGACAAGGAAAAGCATTGTTTACCAGTGAGGAATTCATGCAGTGAGGCTTGCGTTCCCAGGTGACCTTTTCCATTCACTCAGTACTTTCATAGGAATGGCTTCATCTTTCTACACCAGAATTCTTAGCCAGATAAGCAGAGTGATTTAGGATCTGGTAACAATGAAGTTACACAAACACCAGATGGATCCTATTGCTCTAGTTATGCCATTCCTTCTTGATATATAAAAGAAAATCTCTAGTTCAGAAAACCATAGCAAAAAAAATGTGAAAACACAACAGATTACTAATTATATTTTTGTATATAATGAAATAAATAAGCCTGGTTGAATTAATATACATCAACTACAGAGATTTTTGTCAAGCTTATGTACTTGTTTTTATCTTGAGAAGATTCCATTTTGATTTTTTTAAAATAATGCATTATGGAATCTGTGAACCAGGTTTCATTAAGAAAAATTATGCTTATTAAGATCTATCCACAGGGCTGGGCACTGGTGGTTCACGCCTATAATTCTACCTGCTTGGGAGGCAGAGATCAGGAGGATCGCAGTTCAAAACCAACAGGGGCAAATAGTTCCCAAGACCCTATTCTGAAAATACTCAGCACAAAAAAGGAATGGCAGAGTTGCTCAACGGGTATAGCCCTAGCAAGCATGAGGCCCTGAATTCAAACTTAGCACTGCCAAAAAAAAAAAGGATCTTTCATAAGGCTACATCTAACCCCCCCCATACACTTTCATTTGCATATCTTACTGCAATTTATGCTTACCTTTGCTACCACTTCTGTAGAAACAGATTGTGGCTGGTGAGGGCCTGCCTTATCTTTATATATAAAATATGTGTTCTGTCTTGCTTAAACAGAACTGCAAACTCAGTATGATTCTAAGTAGTTAGAACACTTCAAAATAGATAATGGTTCAATTTGATGACCTAATCAATCTAATCAAATTTATTCTTAACGTTTAATAACTTTGATTATGACTATCTGGAGAAGAGATCTGAGATATAAAATTGAAACCCTTATAGGTATCTACTTCCTGAATGTTCTCCCCCTTTGTCATTCAATTCAATACATATGTTTTAAGTGTATTCTACATGTAAAATAATGTGATGAAAATACAATGAAAAGAAATATAGGTAACGCCTCTGCCTCATTTATAATCAAATAATAGAAATTTGCAAAAGTTAATTACACAGAGAAAGCTAGTTGTATAGGCTAGTAAGTACAATGACAGCTGAAGATCAGAGAGGTATACAGAGGAAGGATATATGGTCTGGATATTTAAAAGCTTAGAGGGAGCTGAGTCCCGTGGCTCATGTCTGTAATCCTAGTTATTTGGGAGGCTGGGGTCAGGAGGATAAAGGTTCAAGGCCAGCCCAGGCAAATGGTTTAAGAGACCCCACCTCCAAAACAGTCAGAGTAAAAATGGATTGGAGGTGTGATGTACAAGTGGTAAAGCACCTGCTCCCCAGAACCAAAAAAAAAAAAAAAAAAGCCTGGAGCACATGGAATATTGAAGGTAGTAATTAGAAAGAAAGAAATGTTTGTCAGATGAGAAGAACTTGAGAGAAAACCCAGAACTAGGAATCCCAGTGTGCCTAAGAGGAACTTAATCTAATTCATCAAGGAGTTTTAAAACAAGAGTGAGAGGCAGGAGCAGAATGTGGGGTCTCTGAGTGGAGGGAAAGTGGAGGAACTTGTTCAAATTTGCATGTTAGAGAGATCACACAGGCAGAAGGTTGGTCACTGATGGAAAAGGAGGCCAGGAGACCAATTAAGGTTTGTTTATACAAGAGATGATAGGCTCTAGGCCTCTTTCATTCAAAGTGCTCCTCCACACCAGTGGCATCCCCATCACCAGGAGCTTGCTAGAAATGAATACTCCTGTCCTTACTCCCACCCAACCTCTGAATTAGATTTGCAGTTTTAACATGATTTGCAGATCAGGATATAGCCATGGACATACGTGAGAGATAAAGTATAGAAACACAAGACATATTGAGTCAGGATGTAGGCAGTAGGAGAGAAGAAAGATGAAATTCTAAATGCAATAGTCAAAATAATTTGTATTGTCCATATTTATTCCCATATCTCTAACTCCCTTTTGAGTGTTCTTTTGTTGTCGATAGTCATTGAGTAGCTGACTTGGAACTCTCTATGCAATCCAGGCTGACTTGAACTCACAATCTTCCTGCCTTACCCATCCTAGTGCTGGGATTACAGACATACAACTATGCCCAGCTAGATTTACTCATTTCAACAAAAATGAAACTGAATTTACTGATCCACAATACTTCCTGTTCGACCATCTGAAACATGTCCTGATGCTAAAATGAGCCTCTGGGGAAGTAGAGGCAATTTTTTGGGATGTCTGGGAAACACTACTGGAAGCTTGAAGCATTTTAATAAAAACAAAACAGAAACCAAAAGCCCTTCTCAGGGAGAAGTGGTTAAAATGGCCTGGCTTCTCCTTGTGACTCAGAGATATTCCCATACAAGGGCTGAAGGTTTCCAAGAATAGGTATCTGCAAGGATAGAGAGAGATCACAATGCATAGGGAAAAAGCCATGAACATTTCGCAGCACCCACAGTGGGGGAAGTTATGAAACACAGGGCAAATGAGGGATTTCTAGTCAAGAGCCATCCAGGTGGGGGATGTTGATAATGGGGGAGGCTGTGCCTGTGAGGATGGAGAGTATATGGGAACTATACTTTGTTTAGTTTTTATTTAATTTTATTTATTTATTTATGTGGACTGGGGTTTGAACTCAGGGTTTCATGCTTGCAAAGCAGGTGCTCTGTCGCTTGAACCATACCATTTGAACCACATACTGGAGGTATGATTATTTTTGAAAATGGGGTCTTGTGAACTATTTCCCATGGCTGGACTCAAACCACTAGCCTCCAAAGTAGCTAGGATTACAGGCGAGAGCCACCAGTGCCTAACTAAAGTGCTACAAACTGAGTGGGATTTTTTTGTTCATTTATAAGATCCTACTGGAAAAAATAACTAAAGCAAAAAGGGCTGGAGGCATGGCTGAAATGGTCGTCTGTCTAGCAAGGAATCTGAAAGACCTGATACCTTGTTAGCAGAGCTCGAATTGGAAGCCAAGTGACTGGAACCAGGCTTTCTCCCCTTTCCCTCTTACTGCTCCCTTCCTTCTCTTAGCCACCCCGTTTTTCTGTCTTCTCAAACTTACAAATGAAATCTTAAAGGCGCAAGTTTGGCAGACTGCAATTAAAATCCGAACTAAACGATTTCTCTTCTACCCACTTTCACCTGTCCTTCTGCAGCTGTAAAGGGCCCTCCACATTTGTTGTATGAGATATTTTTACAAAGCTTTGTTCTCTTCCTGTAGCCCAGAGGTCTGTTTGAGGTGTTAACTGATCACATCTTCTTAATAGAGATTTATTTTTTAGGAGGAGCTATTGAACTCCAGCAACATCAATGTAGTCTCATTTCCTAAGTCAAGGTTTTCTAACCCTACTTAAAGGTAAACCC